CCATATGAAAAGCACCTTGATGCAGTATATCGAATTTCTGAGGTACTTAAAAAGTACTCCAGGAAAGGGATTGTTCTTTAAAAGAGGAGATCGAAAGACCATTGAAGCTTATACAGATGCTGATTGGGCAGTATCAGTCATTGATAGAAGATCAACTCGGGGTATTGTACCTTTGTATGGGGCAATTTGGTTACTTGGAGAAGTAAGAAACAAAGTGTTGTAGCTCGTAGTAGTGCAGAGGCAGAGTACGAGCTATGGCTCATGGTGTGTGTGAGATGTTATGGCTGAAGAGAGTTTTTAGAGGAGCTGAAAAGACCTATTGAACTTCCAATGAGGCTCTATTGTGATAACCAGGCGGCAATTAGCATAGCTCATAATCCTGTGCAACATGATAGAACCAAACATATTGAGATTGACCGCTACTTCATAAAAGAGAAACTTGAAGGAGGAATTATCTGCATGCCATTCGTTCCATCAGCTCAGCAAATAGCTGACATTCTCACCAAAGGACTCCTCAGACCAAATTTTGAACTTCTTACAAGCAAGTTGGACATGATAAATATATACGCACCAACTTGAGGGGGGTGTCGAAGATATTATCTCCTATGATTATGGGAGATATTATCTTCCATAATTACCTCCCATAATTATGGGATTTTATTGCTTATGATCAATCAAGTTTGAATAGATAGGATATGAGTTGATTATGTAATCCCTAAAATCATGGTTCTATTACCTTAAGTGTGGGCAGAACTATGATAGGGTTGTCCTATATATGCCTACCTTGTAAGCATATTTAGTGTGTGGGAAAATAAAGAAAAGGAGAGTTTTTTGTTCATTTTTTCCTTTTCTGTTAAAGTTTACAATAAGTAACTTGACATCTTAGAATATGTAAAGGAGAGAGTCACTATGTGGTGTAAACACACAGTGTCACTTTCTAAAGCTTCCTAATCTACCCTTAACAACAAGGGCAAATTCGTCCAAATCCATTCCAAACACCCCCCCCCAAAAAAAAATCAGCAGAAAATCCACACAATAACTTCCTCACACCAACTCCTACATATTCCTCTCAACTTCCATCATCTTTTCATACAATTATCTAGATTAGAAGGGAATCTGACCAATAGAAAACCTTTATAAAGCAAAATAATTTTGATAAATATATTTTTAGTTAACTGCACACACATTAGGGTGTCCCTTCAGCACTAGGAGCATACAGTATCAGTGCGCTTGTGACTCTTCAATAGCAAGGCAGCTATTATTCGTAAGGGATTATCAATTCAATCACAACACCTACATAATTCTCAAGCAAAAAGAAATCACATATGCACATATGCAATTAAATGTTGCCAAAGAAAAGAAACTGGAACAGGAAAAAAATTAGACCAGAACACAACAAATAGATTAGGACAATCACACCTTGACTGCAGCTGTAATTACTTTCTCCCAGCTAGGCCCACCAGTGCATCCGCATTAATCTTCCGCAATCTTGCTTGTACATCGGGGGTATATCTCAAAACATACACAATAGAGGACACCTCTTTCCAACATGAAAACATTGCACTCGGATAATTATGTGCCACAGCTCTAAGGGCCTGGACAAAAATACATAGAGATTAAAATATGCATTTGGATACCAGTATTTACATGTGCATTTCATTCTTGTATACCCAAGAAAAGCTAGTGTTAGAGAGAAGTAGAGGGTGTTATTATAGTGCAAATTTGCTTGGCTTTCATAGGGTTTTTCAATGAATTTGATTCCCACAAAACAGAATAATATGTCATTGTTTAGGGATAGGATCCACATCATATTTAAAAAAAAGTTTAATATGATGTAGTGAATCTCGACCATATCTAAAATGCAAAAACCTCAACGGCCATTAAACTATTGTCTGTGTTGACTTTTGACCATGAAACTATTTTTCGTCAAAAATCAGTCACTAACTAAACTAATCAATACAACCGTCGCCATTTAGTCAATTTTGGCTCTTAATCTACAAAATGATCAGTATAAGTGTCAAAAAGCAAGGGTATTTTGTCCACCACTAACTCGACATCCTACATGCTCATGCAGTACTAGTACCACTACTCCAATTCATCACCGGGGATTCTGGATAGAAAAGCTGAAAAAGACGACAACCCGTGCTTTCACATCCATCCGTCATTCATCTGTTTGGGGAAGAATCATCCACAACCCAATTTCAGCCATCATCTAAAAACCATAACCATGGATTTCTTCCAAAAGCTACCCTTTTCTTTCTCTTGAAATAGATTTAGAAACTGTCCTTTCGAGCTTTCAGTAATGAAAATCCAAGAAAAACAGAGAAAAAAGAAGCAACAGCTGACGGGAAAGGAGCAGCAGCTGTCGCTGCCACTGCCTTTCACTGGAATCAACCATCACCACCACCATGAGTCTTCATCGGAAGAATTGTGAAGGTTCTCTCTTCCCTATTTATGTGTTAATATTTGTGAAAATGGTGATTTATTGTTTATTTAGTTTAGTTTCTACCTTCTGTGATTGGGTTAGAATTAGTTTAGCTTTCTGCAAAATTTTGGCCTGGTTATTTCTGATTTTCTTACAAAATATTCAATCTTTTTTATGCCGAAATCTGTTTGATGAAATGCATTTGTAAAATGTTGTGAAAAAGGAATTTGGGTCTTTTAATCTGTATGAGCAAAGGGAGGAAATCTGGCCAGTCCAAAGCTGTCAAAGCCCACGTGTTCACTGGTGAGCAGACCCAAGCCAGAAATTGAAGAGATTTTTTAATCTAATTTTCTTTTTATTTTTGTTGTTTTCCTTCCCTTTTCTTGGTTGTTCCAATGAAATTTATTGTATGTACTATGTTTTGATGATTGGGAGAGAGGAGGCAATGATCCAGTGTTGCCAGAAGCTGACAAGCTTTGCCGGAGAAGAAGAAGATAACGCAACAATTGTCCCTGTTCCATTGGAATGGAGAAGATGATTCGGTTTTTTGGGAAATTTCTGCTTTAGCCAAGTGGATGGGGAGAGATGTCGAGTTAGTGGTGGACAAAAATATCCTTGTGTTTTGACACGTGTTCTAATTATTTTTCTAGATTAAGAGCCAAAATCTACGAAATGGCCACAGTTGTGCTGATTAGTTAGTTTAGTAGCTAATTTGTGATGAAAAATTGTTTGATGATCAAAAGTCGTTGTGGGCAATAGTTTAATGGCAGCTGAGGTTTTTACCTATCTAAAATATGTAGAACTCGGGCAAGAAAGCATAAAATCCACAGACAATACTACAGCACGCTATCCCTATGTATTCTTAAATAGCACTTCCTATCTCAATCAATTGGATGCAGAAAGAAGCTATTACAACTGTAGATATACTTAGATATTGCACAATATGGATGCAATACCATAATTGTGCACAAAAGCAGTCAAGGGGGGTATGACACATCATGATCTGGCATGTATAGACCATAGAAAAAAGAAAGACAATGTGACATTTGTAGTGCATAAAGCTTGAAATATTAAGCGCGTTAGCAGAAAACTTCATAACTTATAATGAATATCCACAAAGTTATTGTTCTCCCTCATTTGCTTAAGCTTCATAAACTAAGATCATCACAGTGACACATTTGGAAGAAATGGTAGGCAACAAATTGCACACAAGATTCTAGGCGGTTTTCACTACTGCGATAAGTACCAGAAACATAATATCTTAATAGTTCTATCAAAACAAATATCAGAAATTAGGTGCCTATGCTGTCAAAGAAATTGGCAAAACTAAAACACAGAAAAATAATGCAACCAAAACAAAAAGGAGAATTTAACAACGAAAGAGGCAGGGAAGAAGAGAGAGAAGAGGACTTTCAAGTTCACAACCATCTACGTACTCAAAGTGTCGCAGATCAGTTATCAATGCAGAAATAAACCAAGATTTGCAACCCCACGCTTAATATCAAAATTAGTTAAGCCAACCAGGTAAAATATTAATTATCATATATCATTCAAAAACCAGGGTGTGTATAGATGAATTTCTATTATCAGACAAAACATAGTTTCTCAATAACTGATCTAAGCGTTAGATTTAGAGGTGTGAATCCTTAAATGTTTGAACAGAATCATAATTCTCTTTAAAGACCATAGAACAAACCAAAGAATTCACACCATAAAACATCCAACATGTGCTACTCGTTCAATGATTGTAACATTATATGCATATCCATCTAAATCAGAAAAAATTCATCATGCACCTGGAACAGAATTATTATTTTCCCACAAAAGTAACTAAAATACAAAGATCAAAGAATTCCTCTGAGAATTATAAAATATTACCTGTAGTGATTCAAAGCTTATAGATGGGCTCCTGAATGGTTCAGAATACGAAAATAATGCATATAACAGTCCAGGCTTCTTTTGCACCTCAAGAAAACCTGAATAACCATTAGAGTAACTTTATCATCTCCAAAGTAAACATATATAGAAATCGATTCAGGCTTCAGATGCGATTTAATAGGAAACTAGAACCATAGTAAAAATTCCTCCAAAGGAGTACAAATAACTTTTTGTCCATGACAAATTAAGTTTTACTTTTGATTTTCCTGATCCTCAAGATTTTATTAACTTGTTCCTTTTTCGATTTCTTGGAGTTTTCATTCAAAAGGTACCTTATCTCCATTATCTTGGTTGTTCCTTAACCACTGAAACAGGCTAAGATATCAACACATCTTTATCAACCAAAAGAAACCAAATAACCCATCAAAGCCTTAACCACAGACTCAGTGACTAAGTTCTTTGATAAGTTCATTCACGGTCACAAGGCACCCCTGAAGTTCTAATACAAGGACAAAAGGTGGCTCAGACTATCATACCAGAGCATAACAAGCCATATATCTCTGTAGTTTCCAGTTTTCTCAGCATAAATTCAATGAAAGTAGTGGATTTAAAGGGAAATAATGGGGTGCAATATGCATAAAAGGTTCTGGGTCTCAAAATTTCAAATAAAAAGGATTGAGGAGCTGTTCATGGGGCCGAAGAGCTTCAATGTGTACAGGCTTGAGGAGAAAGAGCTATGTAAGTTGCCCAGAGAAGCAATGGGGAGTGTTAAAATCACCCATCCGGTAACATAAGCATCACAACCAAGGTTAGAATTCTGTCCCAAATTTGACATAGACATAAATGCTTGAGAAATTCTCAATATCTCCAAGCTAAATAGACAAAAAAACAACTTAAGAACTTGAACAGACTTAAAAAACCTATATGCAGTAATTCAGAAGTTGTAAAAACACCATAAATAAAATAAATAAACAGCTGACTGAAACTGAAAAAAAAAAAAAAAAAAAAGCTGAAAAGCATGTAATTTATAGTAGGTCCAAAATATCTTATGCAGCTCAGTAAGGGCTCACTTAAGTCCTACAGATCCAAATTAACACTTGATTTTCTAAGCTGATGTTCCCCATTCTCGCTCATTTCCCAGTTCCAATGGTTGCCATACTTAGAAAATATTCCACCAAAAACACTTAAAAGAGTATATACAACTTTAAGATCTGAAATTAAGATAAATTTTTATCATAAGATTGTTAAAATATCCTAAAAGGGAGATAGTACACCATGATTTGGATACTTGCTTATGTGTTTTACTTGTTTGTTTTTTCTTTTATCAAAATATGCTAAACTCAGATGAGGTGGAAGGGGGTTGAGACTTGAGGAAAATGGGCATGTTGCAAAGTAAAATTAGCGCTGCATGAATGCTCTGTCATGCTTACACAAATAACATAACCCTATAAAATCATTAACATAAAAAGCAAAGCAAGAACTTATTAAAGCAGCTTACCTCTTCCAACTTCCTCTAAAAGCATATGTTTGACTTGAACTGAGGGGGGTGAGACAGACAAAGCTACCGTTAAGCAATCAAAAGCTGCAGCCTACAAATGAAGAATGGCAGCGAGCATAATTTACCTTGTGTAATTTGGCATGTATGTCAATGTACAGGAGGAAGACGTGTAGACAGAAGTTACAACTCATAAAGAATGTGTATAGAAAACTATGCAAGCCCGATTATCTTCCTTAATCTATAGCAGTCAGCAAAAAGCAACATCTCTCCACTGCAAAATGCAACATGTCTCCTCTGTGAAAATCTCGACAGTATGGATACAATTGATAGTAGTTAATTCAACAATTAACTACTTGCCGAACATCTTTGTATTTTTTTTAATCGTTTTTTGATAATTTAATGAAGGTTCTGTAACACCCCTACATTCCACACCAGTTAGATTGAGAGATTTGATTGATTAACGATATCCAAGGCAGTGGAATACTAATAACTTGGCTTAAGCATTTTCATCAAGTGATTTAGGTCAAAAGTCATTGGTTCAGCCTCTTTCTCATGGGTACTATGGTTTCAAATTAAGGAAAATCAAAATTCGAATTAAAAGATTAAATAAATATATTCTGTCCTTTCATCAAACATGATCCCTATAGATCTTGGAATGGAAAAGCTTGAAAACAAAATGTGCAGGTTTATTTGCTCAGATTAAAAACATAAGAAAAATGAGCTCTAGAACTTATCTTTGATGTAAGAGGCCATCATGCATTAATAAGTAATACTAACTAAACAAATATTTATGTAGCCTCCCAATGCCCCTGATGCTATCTCGCCTAGATTTTCATATAGTAGCATTGAGGAAGTAAAAGCAGTAACCCTAAGCATACGCTATATGCCAAATATACAGAATAACCTTCTATGCAGCTATTGTACAAGCCTGTTGTAAAGATCTTGGAACCGGAAATGTTTTCTGATAGCCCAAAATCATTTACAGCTGCAGAGAAGACTAGGTAACAAACATCTCGAGAAGATATTCAAAATTAACACAAGCTAGTTACAGCCACTGCCACAAAAAAGGACTGGCATTACATGTTACGTAAAGTTCCAATATCTGACACGTGCCCTTAAATATCTACAACTTGAACAACTTGAAAAGCTAGAAAAGTAAGAAGTTATCAGCAAGTTGGACAAGGTCTTCCACCAAAAGACTTTGTCATGGAATGGCCAATAGCCTGTAGCCTAAGGTAATAAATTTACTTAAACCATCTAAAGTCCATCAATATTTTTGTGCTGAATACATGTTGCACAAGACCAATAGATAGGTTAACATATTTTCAAGATAGTAGCTAGATTATTCAATTGGCAAACACGAGCCGACTCCCTTGCATCATATAAGTTAGTGGAAAAGCATCTCAATCACCATTAACCAAACTTTCAAATACGCATCCGTCTTGTAAGTGGCATGATATGGAGTTAGCAACTTCAACCCACACATCACACAAAAGCATGCCCTTCAGAATCCCCAGTCAGTAAGAGATATGATTGAAAACCTAACAAATCAAAATACTATAAGAACAAAAAAAATGGTTATAGGATTTTAATAAGCTTCTACCTCCAGTAAGAGCAATTCAGGAAATCTATAACTGTTTTGATAATTATGTATGTGGCACTATAACACTCACCAGTAGGCTTGTCTGGTCAATTCGAACTAAAAGCCATCTTCGATCCTTTCTCGAACCGAAGAGATAACTGTCAGCAGCAACCCTGGGGGCATTCTTGAATATCTGTAACATACAAATTAATTGACCATCTATAAATTAGTTGCTAAAAATCAAGTATTCATGCAAAAGAATCTTTTCTGTAGAGTGATCTAACCGGTACTAGATGTAAACAGAGATACACTTATAATTTGGAAGGCTGTATTCCATGTACAAATTCTGTTTACACAGTATTTGCAAAAAATATAGTTGCATCCCTCAATAGATACACTAGATTTGGTTATATGATTCTAGCTTCTAATTTTCACCATATATTCAACAATCAAATCTGAGTCAATCTGTGCATCAGATCTAAAATCACCTTAAAGAACCATAAACCAAATAAAAAACAAATACTCTGCTAAAAAAGAAAGAACACGGGGAACACAGACACACAGACCACAGATATTCCATGCAAGATGTATAAACTTGAGTGCAAAGTAAAGAAAATAAGAAATAATTAGCAGAACGGCTGGCACAAATCACACAGAAGACAGATAATTACACAATGAGAAACAAACAGCACTAGGCATGCAGAAAAAATCACCAGCAAGCACTTTGGACAGTCATTATTACTTGTACAAAAAATGACTGGAGACAGAACACATGTATATTCTACACATAGTGAAAACAGCCACATAAAGAAACATCGCACAAAATCATCAAACAAACAAGAACAGATACGCAGTTGGATGCTAGTTGGTGGTGAGTGGCTGTTTGGTAGGGAGATAGAGGGGGAAAGATATTGGGCCTAGGTATGGTGGGCAGAGAAAAGAAAGATGCAGTTGAATGGGTCTGCTTTGGAGTTGGAGCAAAGAAGAGAGGGAAGGACGAATTAGGAATAGGGTGATGAGATGCATGAGGGCATAGGGAAAATCTTTTTTTTCTTTTTGGGGCGCCACCCGGGGGGGGAGGGGGAGGAGGAAGTAGAAAGGATAGGAGGGATGGCATTTGGTGGGTGAATACAGCTGCAGGCAGTATGGAGAGTATCATAGGTAGTTTTCATTTTCTCCCGAAGACTTGCTCAACACATTAGCTAAATTAGGTAATTTTCATCTTCCTTCCAACATAATCTTCAACAAATAGCTGACAAGGGTTCTAAATGTGGCTTTCCAAAGTTCAGGGGGTCTGCGGTAGTTCAGCTAAAGGACAAGGTAGCTGAAGTCAAAGAATAATTAAATTTTTCAAGTAGGCTCCTACATGATTCATTTTTCTTGCCACGACAACAATAAACCATCAAAGAAAGCATGCCAAGGGCATGTTATCAAGAATGACAATAAACAGCAGTTAAACCAAAATAAAGTAGTTGTAGAGCAATTTACAGCAATGACAAGAATCGACAAGAGCAAAGGACTCTTACGGAGTAGATGATATCAAAGGTGTCAGAATTTTGAACAGGGACGCCAGTAATCCCCCATGCTTTTCATGTTTCACTAAGTACAGAGTGCCTATCAATGGAAATCAAAGATTCAGAATTAACACAGCCTTCATGTAGGGTTCAGACAACAAAGCATTAACAATGGACAAAAAAGTGCCAAGGATATTTTAAGGGAACACGGTTGTCAGATAGCAAATCCAGCAACCAAAAATACATTACATATCCATTATCCTAACCTGAATGAAGCTGCATTAAGATCTGACCAAGGGAGCTGGAAAGCGCTGTAAATGATCCACGCTTTGTGGTATCTTTAAATTCTGCAACCTGTAGGAAAACCGATGCAGGTCCATCAAGCATCGCAGTAATAGTAGAGGCAGACGCAAGCCGTGCCTGGCCATCAAAGCATATTTCAGTCACAAAATTTTCCAATACAAGGGAGAGCATCTTATCTGCAATCACAGGGCAATCCTACTAGATTCATGCAAAATATATCAGAGGGAGCTATCTACCTTTATGTAAGGATCAAACAGCAGGCAACTGATCAAAGTTGCTTCATGCTTCCTATCAATGATCAATAAAACATAAACGGGCATAAGAGAATTTGAGAAACATAGACAAAAAGCATTAACTCATTAGCACAGTGGTCTAACCTTGGCTGTAGAACATCACTTTGGGGCAAAAGCATTGTCCATTGGGTAGCAAATGATTTAGGATCAGCTCTACAAAGATCCTTCCAATCAAATTCAGTAACAAACCGTGTCAGGACTAATATATTGTAAAATTGCTTAAATACTCATCTCAAAAACACTGCCCAAAATTCAACAGCTAACAAGCATGATATCTTCATAGTAAAGCAGTCAATAATTGCCTGACAAGCAGGGTGGAGCCAAATTCAAGTGCCCCCTTCAACTTTAAAAGTTCCTAAAATTGGCATGACAATTTTTACAAATTTTCTGTCCTACATTTAGACCCTCTGAAATTTCTCAAATTTCCTTTCTTTCTTTATATTGCCTCCTAAGTTTGTAAAGTACTTACATTTAACACCAGCTTTGAGCATGAACACATTCAAAAGGAAAATTATTATTGCCCGAATAAAAAAGAAGAATCTTAAAAAATTTTGTACATAAAAATGAAGGAATGATGTTCACTTGAATTTTTGTTTAAAGAACTATAATTGCCACAACTGTCTCAATATTATTTATGTACTCAAAACTGTTTACAATTTTGAAATCATTGGCATAACCATTGTACACTAAAGCAGTTGCCTCCCCCTAACCTTGGGGTCCTGGCTCCACCACTGCTAACAAGTATTGGTTCATCAAGGTGAACATTTGCGTAGAGATTACGTGTTAGACAAGACTAATATTTAAAACACCATGACAGTTTAAGCTAAGACATGATATATGTGTATCCATAATAATCATGTCTATTTGACAACTTAAAAGGTGGAAACATGCAGATTGAGCAATATGTATTTGAAGTGGTCACATGACAATTATGTGAATTTGGAAGCTTCATTTAGGCAATTCTCTTTTGCTCTTGGTTAGTACATAAGGGTAATATTAAGGAATTTCAAGAAACCTTCCTTTTCAAGGTCATTCCTTCAGACATCTCTATTTTAACTCGAGTCTAATGTATGTATCCACTTCAAAATTCTCAAGGGAGTTACATATTATCAGGATGATAACCTTATTCATCAGTAATGCAGAAGAGTAAACATGATAAAGTTTGAAGAACAAAAAGATGAGGAATTAGACGAGGATAAATGACCTAGATTTAGAGATAAAACAGAGTTCTTGTGTTAACATTGGATGTGCTGGCGACTAGTGGGGGTTATACAATAGGGTTTTTTGATCCATTTTGTTTGTCTTTAGGAGGGAGGAGATAGATAGACCTAAAGGGAATTAGAGATGCAAATTCTTTTTTATTCATTCTTGAGTTAGTGAATGGATGTCTCTGTGAAAGTCCTCTACTCTAATGGCTTGTCCTCTTCCCCTGCAAATGGTGATACGACTTCAGCAAGCTTTAACTTTGATCCGATAATATGTTATTGGGTGAACCATACATCAGATATGTTATTGACCTATCATCTACTGAATCTTGAATTGCACTTGATTTCACACATCTTGTAGTAATTTACAGTTAATCCTGCTGAGATTAAAATCAATTTTTAAGATTTGAAAACCATAGTTTTCCAACCAATGAGCAGCAACTCCTGGAGCATGGGAGACAATTCAACTATGAGAGTGTAAAAAAATGAATAGACCTGTAAGCAAATAATGGCAGCTAGTCTTGTCTTGTCACAACGAACAATGCTAAGATCCCGTGCTGATCCATCACCATCACTGTAATCTGAATCAGAGGATACATGATATCCTGTTGAAGATTCAAGTCCTGCAGAAGAAAGAGATTCCTCATCTTTCCGCTGCAAATTCTTCAATTCCCTCTTCCTCAAGTGTGGTGGTCTATAAGGGACAGAGCCTGATTTACTTAATTCTGCCATTTCTAGGTTTTTTGAGGAAGAAATAAGTTCCTTCCCTTGACCAGCCTCTGGTGATACAAAACGGTTTCTATTGGCAACACCATAGCTTAAAAACAACCTCAATGCTGCTACAAAACCAGCCACCTGCCAAAAGTTTTACCACCTACGAACTAAGCAATATAGCATGAGATGTACATAACATGTAGGAAGACATTAAAATTTTCACCTCATGAACTAAACCTAAATCATATCCTTACATGGACTGACAGAGATCCTTTAGAATCTACAAGAACCATGTGTAAGCAATGCAGAACTGAGTTGTAAAACCTGCAAAGTACAGGAACCAGTGTTTTACTGATTGCAGATTCATGAAGCAGTTATGGGAGGGGTAGAAATTCATACGTGGCCATCACACTGTCTTCTGCAAGAGGGCATTAGAAGCTAAGAAATCCATCACGTGTCTAAGAACCTAAAAAGTACAGAAAAAGCCTGCTTACACTTTAATGTAGCCATTGCATCTATCACTAATTTTAATCTAAGAATTTTCAAAACTGTAACTAGAACATGCACCTTAATTGTTGATTCCCAAATGTCAATATGTAATGACTTGCCAACCTTCAAGTATACTTCACCAATTATGGAGAAAGCAGTATTCTGAACTTCCCAAACACATTGATTTTTAGATACTTTCCTGCTGCCACTTGAGCAAGATGAGTAAAGTGACTCCATTTGAAAGGAAGCAATAACAACGTGAAGAAACTCTAGCAGTTCTTTATTTCCTGATGACAAGTTTGTTCTCTGACAAACACCAAAAAGTAACCTGAGAAAATTATGAAAGCCGTGCAAGCCTCAACATCTTGTAATAAGTGAACCTAGTTTTCGCATATTAGGTACAACAGAAAGATCTGTATAATGCCAAAGATGCTTAACCAGGAACAAAAAAGTAATGATCATAAACCGAATCAACATTAGCAGAGAACTTAAGAGTTCATGTACCTAGAAGACTGTAGACAGTGTTTTATTGCGCTGATGACAGAAGCATTTTCTATAAAAGCAGCATTCATTTTAGCTTTTCCAAGAAAAGCCTTCACTACTCTCCTGAAGCAGTCAAGTGATAAAACCCAAGATGCTGCATCCAATTTGAAAGAAACACGAGAGATGGTGCCATGTATCTGATAAACAGTGATATAGAAAATTAAGCAAACATCAGAAGATGACTATAAATGTGCTTATAGCATTTTGAGTAGAACTTTGTATGCAGTGAAATTAACCAACAGAACTAAAACATAATCAGAGGAGGTATACAAATCAATTAAACCTGTCTGAATTGCAGAAGCAAGGAGAGGGTAGTGAAGGACAAATCTAAATCCTTATACAAATGTTTAACTTACCACCTCTGACTTCCTTCACATATAATCTCTTAAAAATTATAGAAGTTCTAGGAAACATAAATAATGCATCTTCCCACACTAAGGAACTGCCCATCCAGAGACATACAAGAGAAAAAGGAAACTCATTCCAGATTTAATTAACTCCACTCTATCACCTTTAACTACACAGATAATAATATTAAGTCAAGCCAAGCTGAATTATCTGTAACATCCCTATAAAACTCAAGAACTTAAAATCTTTAATAGGGAAAGCGTTTGGTACATACATCAAAGATAAATCTTTCAATTTTCTTGTACTCCTAATTCCCTCTGGATAACAAAAGAGAATAATTATCTGCTCTACAAACAAGTGTATGCAGGAACCAAGCTCAGATCGTCCGAAGTCTGGAGTATTTGCTAAGAGATGAAACTGAAAATTCATGACACAAGTTATCCTGACACAATGGTTCCAAGTTCAAATCCCTGCATATGCTGATAAAGGCAACCAATTGACAGGGAGGAATCATATGCTCAGCTGTAGACAGGATAGATCAGGCAAAAAGTTGACTCTTTTGCTCCTTCAATATGAAAATAACCTTGATTCCTGAATTTTCCAAATTATTTTGCACATATTCCATTGCACCTGGCATCAATGCAGTGTCCTGCTCCAATCTCCACTATTCATTTCTTCACCATCTTTCCTTAATAACTAAAAGCACATTTTGCAATTGAAAGAGCAAATTTCAGGCTTGTCAACGTGCTAAAGTGCATTGAAAATTGCAGCATATTCAAATTTTTTGCCAAGAAAGTAGGATTCTTCAACAGCAGATAATAAGTTGTGCTAAGGTAAAGAGTGGCAATGGTATCAAATATATACTGATTCTCATTTGGACTTACCAGCAAACCACTGGGGCCTCGAAAATGGATTTACAGGAATAAACTAACAAACTAAAAAAAGGCGACCAAAGAATAAATTTTTTATAATACTCTATAAAATCAATTTTTCACATGTGCACTGCTTTTGAGAGAGAAAGAGAAAGAGAATAAACTGTTGTCCTCGATTCAATCCAGTTTGTTGCCTAATTCAACATCGTGTTGTTCTGCTTTACACTAAACATGTTTACTTTTAAAACTTCAGATGCCAATGTGCAGACATGAAGGATAATTGTATTATAATCTGCTAAACTAGAGACTTTAAATGCAATATTCTTAATCTATTGCTGATCAAAGTGACATACAAAAAGGGGAAATGCATTTATTTGTACTTGAGGAGGCAGCAGTCAAGTTATAATTAGCTTAACTATGCTTCTTTTCACATATGGACTTAGTAGTTGCATGCTTTTATGCCCTTAGTCACAAACTGCAGCTTTAGCTAAATTTATGCTATCCCCGAACATAGCATATGCGACATTCTCAATCATCCACCGACTTCAACTAATCTTTCTAGCAAATGTCTAACAGCAAAGTTACACTTGGGGTTCATGTGAAACATTTGCAACAATATTTGCTTCTATTCCAGCAGATAGAAAAGTAGGAGTTGAACACCCTTAAGAAAGGCTGAAAAAGTTTAAGAAACTTCCCATCCTGGATATAATAAATCAAGAAGTAGCCTGAGATTTGTAATGGACATTAACTACAAGTGCATAATTACATGATTCTTGGAAAATGCAATGTTGTGTGCTGGAGTTAATTTGGATGCGCAATTATGACCATATAGTTAGATCAGACAAGTACACATCTGTCACCATTGGATTCCTCCCGATCCTTTTCCCAATCCATTACATGAAAAGCCCTAAAATATTTGCAAAAGATGTTATGAAAATACTTTTTCACTAAGTCTCACTATAAACACCAAAAGAAGCATGTTAAAGACCAAACTAACCACTGAAAAGGGCAAGGTTGAATCTTGAGAAATGAACGTTTTAAAATATCAGGAAGCCCAGTTTGCTTCACTTTATCCAATATACGCCTACAATTGTATGTCAGAGTTCAACTGTTGTCAACTGATATACTAGAGACAGTTTACTGTTCTTTCAAATGATGGGTTCTTTAACTGATCGAGGTAGGTGAAATCTACAAGATGAATGGCAAAATGCATAGGAAAAAAGAAGAATAGCAAGAATGCTTTTGTACATCTGCACAGATGGTTGTGAATAAAGTCATCACCTTTCACACTCTTTCTTTCTTCTTTTTTTTTTTTTTCCTTTTTCAATTTTTGGGATTGGGCCTTGGGAAGCAAGATGGGTGGCGGTAAGTACATTAATCTCTTATGAGCAAATTATCCGGATGGCCACTAAACTTTTGCGATCGTCGAGTTTTGGTCACTGAACTATTAAAAGTCTGGTTTTGATTACTGAAATGTCTGAAGTTAAGATTCGAGACCATTCCGTTACATTTAGTCATTAAGTAAATGCCAATTCGTTGCCTCCCAGAAAGAAAAAAGAATTGTACTGGGGTATGAACGCAGCATTCCTGTACTCATGAATCGAACCCTTTACTCCTGCCATCATCCAATTCACCACCAACAGAAATTCTAGTAATAGCCCAATTCCTATCCTGTTCATCATGCACCTCAGATCAAACAAATGTCTCTCTCGGTATATCATTTCCGACCCCTCTCTAGATGTGTACAAATCTGATTGATTATTTGATTATAGAGGAATGTGGATAAAATTTTACTGCAAAAGGCCAGTTTTTGGAAGCTCAAGAAAGGGGAAGAAAGAGAAAGAGGCAGTTGAAAGAAGAAGATGAAAGTGATAGTCGTTATATTGGTATTTATGTGCTCTCACTCTCAGTCGTCTACTGTGTAATAGCAGGGTTGAGGTGTTCTTGTACCCAATTGGGTGTTTGGAGTTAACTTACGAACAAAGAAGGTATGGAAGTAATTAAATATGGGATCTGGGAATTCTGATTTTGAGTGCTCGAGGGATATATATCCCATTCTGTTTTTCTTACACTTTCTGTCGCTGGGGCTGGGCTCATGGGACAGTAAGGCAACCCACTACCAATCTGCATTTTTCTTACCATTCCAGGAATAAGACCGGGCGGAAATAAGGGATATGGGGCAGCTTTTCGCCAACACTGGTTCCTGATGTAGGCAATTGGCTTGCTGGTTGTGCGGAAAGTGGAGTAGCTGCTGACACTGCAAATCCACTAGAAGGAGCTGAAGCAGAATGAAATTGTTGGGGATGCAATGATGGTTGCACTAGAGTGACTGGTTTGTCTCGGTATTCTTGATCTGGTGGTTTTATAAGAAGAGGAGGAAAATTTTGATGCCATTGGATTTGAGGAGCAGGGATAATGGAAAGAGCAGATTGAGAGGGCAGTAAATTCGGCATTTTTATGCTTTGGGAATCGCACGGGCACTCAGATCTGGCATACTTAACGACTAAATCTAACGGAATGGCCTCGAGTCTTAACTTTAGACATTTCAGTGATCAAAACCAGACTTTTAATAGTTCAGTAGCCAGAACTCGATGATCGCAAAAGTTTCGTGGTCATCCGGATAATTTGCTCATCTCTTTTTAGTATGGACGTTCGTGTAATCACGTCAAATTTCAGATCGATATTTGCCTCCAATGTGAACACGCTAGCTGCCATGTATCTTCCTGTGTTCACTTAAAATGAAGCAAATAGACTAGGTTCGAGATATTTGAATTTGTAATTTCAGCAAGCACACGCATAAGATGCAACTTGACGTAAAAAGAAGTCCAAATTCTCAAAATTATCAGGCTCTTTATAACGTGTTGTAATATTGCTACCACTCACAAAATTGGATAATTGAATGAAGGATTGAGTGACATCGTCAAAATCTGCAGCAGCATCATCAGAAATATTCCGAGCCAATTCCATCAAAAGCATAATATCCGCTCCAACCTAAAACCGACCACAACAAAATTGAATCTCTCGAGATTTGACGGAATCAAAACAAGAGCAAGAGAGAAGTATTATGGAAATTGAAGTAATGCTTTACCTCGTCAGGGGCAGGAGGGAAGCAACATGAATTAAATTATCGGCTTGGAAGAAAATGAAACGGTTGAGGAGTTGAAGGATGGTTTGGATATGAGATTGTCGGAGGGAAGGTAGGGACTGGGTTTCGTCCCTCAGGGATAGAAATGCCGTTCTCCATGACCCAGTAATTGGTGAAGAAGAACAAGAAGCAGATAGAGAAGTTGCTGCTGCCAATTCCATGTAGGAGTACCCTCCCTCTTCTAATGTTGCATAATCACCTCATTCCGAGGATTGCACGCTGAGCAGTTATTCAAGTGAAGGGAAGGTTACAGCGATTGGGCTGGCGGTTGAATTATTTTGAGCAATTAATTCCTGATGTTTTTTTACACCCAAAAAAGAAGGGGTCATGAAGTTGATGGAAGCTTTTTTCTTTCATTTTCGGATTTAGGGTTTAGGCTTTAAGCTTTAGGATCCGTGGTCTTATAACTTGGAGCAAAAATGTTTTTTTGAATTGTAAAGCAGCAAAATTTAGAAAACAAAATTAGAGGTGTCAAAATGGGTGATTTGTTGGATTGGATAAAATGGGTAATGAATAGAAGTGAGTCAATCCATTTATACTCAAAATGAATTGAGTAACCATTTATTTTAATTTTTTGTAAATTTATTTAAATTCATTTTTGTAAACTAAATAATCAATTTATACCATCATTTGCATCTATCATTAATTTTAAATATTTATTTATAATACTCAATAATCCTAATTATCAATTTTTTTCCATCTGTACTCTATGTCGCAAAATTATATACTATTTAATAATTAAACAATAAGAATATAAAAATTTGAACTAAATACTATAAGGGTGCGTTTGATTTTACAGAATTGAAATTGAATTAGAATTGAAATTCTATAGAATTAGAATTCTATGAATTGGAATTCCAAAACATTGGAATCCTTTTGTTTGGGAAATGCATAGAATTGATACAAAATTCATTTCGAATTCCATATTCTTTGTTTGGATGAAAGAAGAATTCATTAAGAATTAGAATTGTTTCCATCTAACATTTGCTTACATAAAATTTTTCTTTTTTCTTTTTCCTATGTAATAATTTTTAAACATTTAGCTAATTGTTACTAAAGCTTCAAGGAAAAAACCAATTAGTGCCTTTAATAATTTATATTTTCTTGCATTTAACTAATTGTTACTAAAGCTTTAAAAAAAAACCAATTAGTTCCTTTTCTGCAAAAAAAAAAGAGTATTCTTAATTAAATTATATTAAATAAAAAACTAATTACATATTCTAGCTTAAAAAGTAGTTCATATTTGTCAAGTTAAAACCTTGATACTGTTTTTAAAGTTAGGAACCTTAAATTTTAGAAAATTAAAAACCTACTCTATTATATGAATTGGGGAAGGAAGTCATAGCATGTACCTATTATAAATGTTTAAGTTTTGCATCTTACAAGAAATTTCAATAGATCAATATGCGAACAAAGTGATTTAAGCAAAAAAGAAAAGCACAATTATACATTACTTCCATTCTAAAGTAAATGGCCATCCTAATATTCAATTAAGGCCAAATAAGTTCCTATCAAACTTCAACTTGCATGATGGCCTTGTCTAATTTGATAGTCAACAAACATTGCTCGTGCTAGAGCATTCCTAAGTTGTGTCCATTCCCTAATTGGTTGTACTATTTGAATTCGATTCTCATTAATAGCATTTATGCCACCATCATTATTTGGACCATTATCTTCCATTCCATCTTCCTCATCTTCATTTCCCATTTCATCTCGATTTTGCTTTTTGCTTGTCTCCTTCTTGATCCATCTCGATATCCAAATTCTGCAATTGAAAATCACGACAATGTGGTAGTAAAACATTGCTTATTTGACATTGCTTAAAAATAAAACCAGTACATTGCTATAAAATGTACTTGTTTTCACATAGATTAAAGCTTTTCAGCACTCTGATCAACAAAAAACTAAGTTATCATAAGCTCGATAAATATTTGTCATCTTCTGTATTTTAACATAAACATCACAATGTCATGTTCTTAAGAACAGATTTAACAACCACTGCATTATAGAACTAAATATGAAAGGCAAATATGCACCAGAAAAAATCCGTACATATGTTAAATGAAGAACTTATGCTGACATCTAGCTTTAATGTTAGCAAGGAGTGAATTTGCACTTCATGCAACGAGTGCTGATATCTTTGCACTTTAAAATTCGACACTATCCATTGCTTGTGATTGTTGTCCACTATATAAATTTCCAGCGTGCAATAACAACCTTCAATTAATGTAAGATCAAAAATTTGACAATGCTAGTGCTTTATCTTTTAACTTGAACTAAATACAAATGACACCAAAATCGGCATTCATTGAATCAACTAAAGACTTCAAGACTTATTCGACAGGAAAAAAACGCCTATTCAGTTGCTCTGCTTAATAGAAATTTGATTAAATGTGATCATATTAGAAGGCTTAATCAAATTATTGGGCATCACAAAGTGCAGCAACATATAATAGGTAGACAAGAATAGGGATATCAAGCAAAATTGCTACCGAATATAGTAAAAGTAGATGAGTGAGAAACTTATTCGAACTATAAACAATCAATACTCAAAAACTCCATTGTTTTGGATATGCACAAACCTTTCGGGTATCACCTTCAGCTAAATTCTTGATCAGCTTTGGACCTGACGAGAAGAAAACTCGTCCAAGTCGACTGTATCCAACATCCCTATGCCAAGCTCTCTGAAAGATTATACCAAAAACTGAATTGAATAAGCAATAACAGAAATTTACTACTGAAATCATCTAAAATTAGGTACCAGAGCCTATTAATTAACCAAACTCTCTTGAAGAAATGCATCATATCACACTTAGAAAGATTTTGCCAGTCAAAAGAAATTCAGAATTCAATATTTAATGGTGCAAAATTAAAAATCGAAGGCAAGGAAAAAAAGAGTGAAGAACCCAATTACAATGTAGCAAAGAGCGATGGGGGAGACGGTGGTGGAAGAGGCAAAAAGTTAGGGTGAAGGTGGAAGCGACGGTGGAAAGCAAAAGCACTTGCGGCTGAGGAAAAATGGTTAATTACATAGGGAGAAAAGGATGCTTATATAGTTGACCCGATTTGAATTTTTTACCCACAAGATCCACGTGTAAACCCGTTTTCAAGGATTTAGGGCTTGTTTGGAACTCGAGTTTTTGGCCAAATTTTTTAGCTACTAGTTTTTTAACAACTTTAACTATAGGAAGCCAAAAAAACTTATCAAACTTTTTAATCTACACATTTCAAAATATCTAATACACAAAAAACTTCCTATTTTCTTCTTCTTTCTCCCCCACCCCAACCACACCTTCATCGCTGGCCACCACCTCCGCCGCTGCTTCCGGTGTAGGTTACTTATTCCGGCTCCGGCCTCCCTTTTTTTTTCCTTTCTCTTTTTTCTTTCCCTCTCCTCTCCCCTCCCCCTCCCCCCTTTTGATCGATCTACAACCCCTCTTTTGGCTATTTTTCTTTATTTTTTCTCTTCCTCCCCCTTCTCCTTCCCTCCCCTCTCCCCCTCTCCTCCCCCTCCCCTCCCTGGCAACCCTCCCTCTTCCCCTATTTACGATCAATTCTAGGAAACCCAGCTACAACACAATTCTTTGTGTTCGATTCTGTCGTCAAACCAGCCAAAAGAGACCTAGCCACCCTCCCTCCCTCGCATGGACAATCTTGATTCTCGATCTCATCGACGCAGGAAAGGGGAGAAGAGGGGAGAGGGAGATGGAGAAGAGGGGGAGAGAAAATGCAAAAAAAAAAAAAAAAACCATGGTTGTCGGTTCTCTGGCTTCGGAAGAGAGAGGAGGAGAGGGGAGCAGAGAGGGAGAGGGATAGGGAGAAGAGAAAAAGAAAAAAAAAATTGGCTTCACCATGACTGTTGGTTCTTCAAAGCTGGCGACAGAGGTGGTGGGGAAGGGAAGGGGAATGGAGAAGGAAGAAGAAGAAGAAGAATAGAAGAAAGAAAGAAAAAGAGAAAGAGAAAAAAAAAACTTAAACCAATTTTGGACCATCTGCTGGTTCTTCAATGTCGGATCAGAGGTGATGCGGGAGGGGGAAAGAAGAAAAAGAAGAAGAAGAGAGGAAAGGAAAGAAAAAGAAAAAGAAAGAAAAAAAGAAAAGGAAAAAAAAGTTTTTCATCTTAAAAAATTTTTCTAAAAACTTATACAATAAATTTTTAAACAAATTTTCAAAAAACTCAGGTTCCAAATGGAGCCTTAGTTGTGGAATTGGAATTATAATTCTTTTGGTTCAGTAAAAAATTCAATTCATGGAATTGGACCCCATAGAATTCAGATTCAATTCTAATTCTTTGAGTAGAGCAGAATCCAAACAACAGAATTGGAATTGAGGCCCCAATTCTAATTCTAAACCCCAATTCCATTAGGAACCAAACACACCCTAAAAGTTAACATTAAAATTTAATCAAAAAATTTTGAATCTCTAGCATTTTTTCATATGTAAATTTAAAATTTTATTTTGGAAAAGTTTAGAAAAAAGCGAAAACTTGTCATAAATTGGTAATGCTGAAAAATGAGCAAGTTAACAAATTAAGAAAAAAAAATGATAAGATAAAACCAAATAATAATAATAATAATGAAACAAAAATAGTTAACATTATGACAAAATGAAAATTTTGAAAAAAACAATAGGTGAGGACAGAGATGAGGTTTGGGGGAAAATAATTTTAAATTGGTTAATTGGATTTGATGGGTTATCCAATAATACTCATTTATTAAATGAGTATTATTGGGTAACTCATTTATACTCATATGTAAAAATTTAAAATATAAATGAGTATTATTGGGTAACTCATTTATACTCATATGTAAAAATTTAAAATACTCTTACCTATCTATTTATGGGCGGCTTAATCAACCTTCCAGGACTATATATGTATATATATATATATACATATATATATTAATTTACAAGGATGCGTTGCTCTTTTAATTTAACATCCTACTTTCTCTTTCTTTTTAATTCATTTCTCCTGCATTTACCATTTGATAAGTAAAACAACTTTACGAGTGCCAAAGCCAAAATACTCAAAAGCAATGTCATCAATTGTCTTATTCGTTTTGGGCACAATAAACAATAATGTAACTAGTAATTGAACCCTATTTCTTTTTTCTTAATAATTTTATACGAAAAAAAAGAAAAAAGGGGGAGAAGGGGTTCAATTACTACTTACATTATTGTTTATGACAATTGATGACACTGCTTCAAAGGATTTTGGTTTTGGCATGCTTAAGTTGTTTTGCTTATCAAGTAACCTATGTAAATACAGGAGAAATGAATTAAAAAAAAAAAGAGAAAGTAGGACGTTAAATTAAAAAAACAATACATCCTTGTAATTTAATATATATATATATATATATATATATATATATATATATATATATATCAAAACATCCTGCTAGGTTGATTAAGCAAGGCAAGGTGTTAATTTTTTTTTAAAAAAAATCTGTTATTATCATATTTATTCAACACAATAGCATTATATAATTAAAAAATATATTTTTGTCTATTGAATTAAAGGTGTGTTTGGTAAAACTAAAATTTGAAAATTGAAGTTTGAAATTTGAAATTTGAATCTATTGAATTGTTAAGCATTAACAATGCATTTGATAAAACTGAAGTCTGAAAACTAAAATCTAAACTTTGAAATTTGAATTCATTAAACTATTGAATTGTTAAATACTAAATTTGATACATTTGAGTATATATATTACATTCAGTGATAAGTATATATATTACATTCAGTATATACATTTGTTTTATCAAGATCAAAACCTAGAAGCGTATGACCCTGGATACTAGATTTTGCACCAACTGTAGCTATTTGATCTTTGCATTACCAGCTGTAAATGTATATTAGCTCTTGATGCATTATATCTCACGTGGATGGTGTTATCATAATATTTTTGTTTAGTTTAAAATCTTGTGTAACTTGATGAGTTATTTCGTGTCAAGAGTTTGACCATCCCTTTTGCTACTGATGTATTGAGAGGATAGAATTATGGACCTATATTAGTAATCCTCCTCCTTTTTTGGTCAAATGCAATTTATCCCACTAAGGTTGATATGTAAGCACAATTTCTTTTCATTGGATTTCTTGAAATTACAGGCTCATGAAAACCTTTTTGGTTATTGTACTACAAAGTAATGCATTTTTTGGTCCTTGGGTTATTTTGAAGTGTATGATTCTAATAACCAGGAAAAGGCTTGATGCAATACTACACTGTGCATTTTTTTTTCTTCTTTTTCTTATTTTCCTTTCTGAGCTGGAACAGGTTTGATATGTAATGAGAACCTCTGGAATGCAGTCTATTGGTCTTAAGTTTCATAAATGTAGCCTTTTACATTATCTCATGTACTTGTCTTTCCTTTTATGGGATTCTAGCTATTGACATGCATCAAATGATCAAGGGCAGAATTGCATCAAGGCCTGTGAAACTTCCTTTTTTTTTTTTTTTTGTGTGTGTTAAGTAGTTCACAATCCCCTATGCTATTGATGTATTGAGAAGATACACCTGCATTAGTAAATCCTACTTCGTTATTTGGTCAAATGCAGTTTATCTCACTAAGGCTTGTGAAACTTCCTTTTTCTTTTTTTTTTTGTGTGTGTTAAGTAGTTGACAATCCCCTATGCTATTGATGTATTGAGAGGATACACTTGCATTAGTAATTCTCCTCCGTTTTTTGGTCAAATGCAGTTTATCTCTCTAAGGTTAATATGTAAGCACTGTTTCTTTTCTCGTAGATTTCTTGAAATTACAAGCTAATGAAGCTATTTTGGTTATTGTACTACAAAGTAATGGGTCTTTCTTTGTGGTCTTTGGGTTAATTTGATGCAATTACGAAAACAGTGGATTGGTTTTATTAGAGTCTGAAAATAAGACCAAGCCTTGGCGCACTACTACGCTGTTTTTTTTTTTTTTTGAGCTACAAAGTCACAGATATTGGTGTACATAAAAAATACTCCCTCCGTTCCACTTTGATAGTTTTATTTTTCTTTTTCGTCTGTCCCAAATTGTAGTTCACTTTCCAATTGAAGAATGTAGTTGTATTTTAATTTTTCTAAAATACCCTTATTTAATGTAAGTTGTTGTTACTATTAATGAGAGTTACTCCCATTTAATGAGAGTTGATTCTTTTTTTACCATCAATTCAAGTTCCCATAGAATTGTACTCTATTTAATGTGAGGGTATTTTAGAAAAATAGCAATCTAAATTTACTTTTTTAACAAAATAACTATTTTTTCTTAAACTGTGTGAAAAAAGAAACAGGACTATCAAAGTGGGATGGAAGGAGTATAAGACAGCATTTCACGGTGATATATTATTTTCAAACTAATGACATTGCCATTGCTGTCCAATTAGTCAGCATAACAAAAATGATTGTCATTTGGCAACTAGGCTGAAATTGTGGCTCTCTTCATTGCTTAATAAAATTACAAAAAATAATCACAAAGCTTTGGGTGTACCTTCATGTAACTCTTTATATTGAATATCCCAATTTAAATAATTGAACATTTCTGGGCAAACCTGAAAATTACGCTGCGCACCGCGTTCTCCTCCTAGTTTCACATAATAGCCCTTCGTTTTATGCAATAAAGTTAAATTACAAGTGACAAGTGTACAATAATATGAACCACTCATTGTATTCTCTCCAGCTCATACTGTCTGATTCTGCAATTTCATTGTCCAATGTGGTGTATTAAAGAATCCAAGATTCCCCAAAGCTAGTGAACAGTTGCTGGAGCCACTTGTGAAAGATCTTGTTTAGCAACAACAGTTGTCAATTTACCTTGGGTGCTTTTGTCTATCAGTCGGGGCATAGGTTTTTTTCTTATGTTTGGCATATTAGGCGAATAGGCAAAGTTTGAGATTTGCAATTGAGACCTGCTGTGAGAAGACGACTATAAAATAGCATGCTACTCAAGCAGATTGTGAGCTTCAACTCAAACCATGAGTTCTAGACCCTATTTGAGTTTGGTTACTCTACTCTACCTCTTGACTAGAACCAGAATAGGTGTGATACTACTTGCAATGTTTTAGCTGTTATTTAGGCTTCCCTATATATACTTTTCAGATCTGTTGTAGGAAATAAGCATTTGCTGCAAATTTTTTGAAGTTATCGTTTCACCTAGCTGACTAATCTTGTCTAACAATTCCATCTCTAATGGAGCAGGACAAGGCTGCACTTCTTTTCCTCCTCTTTCCGTTAAGATTGCTTATTCTAAGATGATGGATATGGGATGGATGCTTCCCAGCATTTCCAGTTCAGCTCTAACAGGTATCTGCTGGCGTTGCATTTCATTCTGCATAGAGTTTTCAAGTTATGTGTTAATGTAATTTCATCATACGTTCCTCTAGTCCTGGATGCTGTTCTTGTAAACAGGATTGGCTCTACGAGAGAATATCTTAAGGAAAAATTGAAGTGATATTCGTCAATGGTAAGTACTTTCCATATTTTTTCTTTTCCCTTCTCTCATTTCTAACTTTTGCACTATAAGATTGCACTATAAAATTTTCTCATGGCTTTCACGCTTGAATGATCAAAATCTTGTTACTTCTACTAGAATCACTAGATCAAAGGTTGATTTATGGCTACAATTTGCCAATGAGCTATTTGATTGAAAGATCATTTGCAACAACATACAGCTAGCCTGATAGGAAATAGAAGATTCAGAATACTTTTATGTGAGTTATCTTCCATTGCTAAGAGAAGAGAACTGTTTCTAGTCTGATTTTTTTTTTGAAAATTTACTTTCTTAACGTAACATGATTAAGATGGTTTAACAAAGAGATGGTTTAATGGTTCAGAGAATAACTTTGGAAATTCATAAATTTTGTGATCTTTGCTGTTGATTTATATGGAAGAATAGGTGCTAGGTTGGATCTTATAACTTTAAAAGCACCCTTACTGACATACTAACCATCTTATGTCCTCTTTACCGTTGCTGAATTCTGATTATGAAGGAAGGTAGAACTCATTAGCTTGGTGAAGTAAAACTTTTATGACCTAAACTTTGTGTGTGTGAGCTACATGTTAGATGTTATTGCCATCCGCCATGTTCCCTTGTGTGTATGTGTGTGTTTTTTGTGCATGTCCTTGCATACGTTTGGGCATGTGCATGTCTATTTGTCAATTTAAGAAACATATCATAATCTGATTTCAGCAACTTGTCAACTTAAGAAACATATTTTACTTTCATTTCAGCAACTAGTAATTTCTTGCACTGTTATTGTCAAATCTTGATGCGTAGAATGGAGTTGGTTATGTATGACTATACTGTTGTCATGTCATTATCTTGACTCATTTAAGTAGTTTGACCTTGATCACAGTATATGTTAATGAAATATATATTTTCCTTTGGCTTTTGAAAATATCATCTTCTGCAACTGATTTTGAGTGGTACTAAATCTTCTTTCTTCCTTAGGAGACTTCTTTTTTCTTAGATTTATGTCTCTCGTCTTATGGTAGCTGAAGTAAATCATGCTTTGGCCTACAACATCTTGACAAGTACAACATAAAAAAAGGACACTCTGTGGATCCTTCCCTCTGCTCTCATATCCTAGCTCTGCTGTTGGAGCTAGGACTACAACTGCTAATCAGAAACCGAATTTTTGCTTTTCAGAAACTGGTATTAATTTACAAACATTTCCAAAGTTTGTAATTGGACAACAAACAGCAAACCTACTTCTACCTTTAGCAATTGTGAACATGTTATATTGAAGAAATCATAGTAAGATTCAAACCATACTGAGAACAATAAATAACTACATTATTAAGCAACAATGAAATCTTGAACTTATAGCATCATAATAATGAAGCGGAAACAAATAGAGGCATTTCAAAAGGTTATTCTTTTCTGGAGCTGATTCTTTCTTGAACTTCATTTTGATTGCATCATGATTATTTGAAAATTTATAGCAGATAAACCTGTTTTCATGATTTTAAGTATACTTTAAAAAGTGGATGTAACATCATTACACAGCCATGGTTATAGCTCTTGTAAGTCTGGGAGATAAAATGGCACCCAAGCTGCAGTAAGAAGCAAGTGTAGTTCATTTTTATGATAATTGCTTTTCCAAATAAGTCTCAATTGTTCAGTTCCTTTATATTTTTTCATTGTCCTAATGGAAGGGCAATTAATTAACTTTGAATCATGAGATTGTTGGCATTGATTTTGAACTTTGAAATGTCCATATTTCCCCTGTTTCTGAAGCTATTGCATATATCGATGAGCTTGCCAACACTGGCTGTTTGGGTCACACAGAAACTATCTTTCTGTCACAACAGAGTCTTCCACGTCTAGCGAGAGGAGAACTTAGAGTAGATAGGTTAGGTTTTCCATTGATCCGTAAATGAAAACCTTAAGTTTTTTGCTACGAATTTATCATGCATTGCGGAGGTAAGATTTATGTCCCCTCCTTGTATTATTTTATTTTATTAATAAAATAACAGGTCGGCATCCCACATGTTCGAAGTTTGCCAATAAAAAAAAGAATATATCAGGTATTATATGGAAGTTGCTGTAACTGTACCTGCATTGTTACACGTCTTTCTATTCAAGGAAACTTCTTTTGGCAGGTAGTATTTTGGTTCTCATTGAGATTTTTTTTTTTGGTTCTCATTGTTACAAAACTTTTTTTTTTTTGGGGTTCTCATTGAGATTTTAGTCTTCTTATCTATTGCATATCTCCACCTTGATATCTGTCATTGTTGTTTCTAGTTTCCATGGATTAGTTGCTGTAACTGTACCTGCATTGTTACACGTCTTTCTATTCAAGGAGACTTATTTTGGCAGGTAGTATTTTGCCGGATCCTTTGGTTCTCATGGCGATTTGCAATTTCACAAACACCATCCACACTTTGATGGCAAAGTCACAGTTCAAAGCAACAATGAAAAGAAGTACAAGCCCGTGTTAGATCAGTGCATCCTGATAGCAAAGGAGAATGTCCTAGGTACATTGAAGTTCTATTCAAGACCTGCTTTTCAAAGTGATCTTGTTTCTTAGAGACCATCAATTTCTTAGCTCTGGCCCAAAATTCTCATTCCGTTTAATGACTTCATTTTGGAGGCCCAAAATTCAGGTTTAATGACTTCCATTTGTGTCTATGCCTATTTATGGTTTTTACAGTTGTAATTGTAGTGTATTGTGACAATGTAAGCCTGAATGTTCTTGTTGGATTGATGATGTCAAACTCGGTTTCAAGCCTGACCATAGAATAGGGATGGCAATGGGGTTGGGTTAGAAGGGGGAAGGTCAACGGGGCAGAGGAATATGTGGGGTGGAGGGAATCTTTATCCACCTCCCACTTCCCCCGGAACGCATTACATGGATATCTATACATCTTCACTGTACACTCGGATTAACGTGATTATTAGTTATTTACTTTGTTTCCCTAACTATTATACAGTAACGCATAAACTGGTTGCAGGTTCTCGTATCTGTGTTAGTTATGACAGAAGGGGTGGATTACTATCCTTTAGTTTGGGTCCAAAAAGTATTCAACTCTCCGCTGATCTGTCGTCTTCCTTTGTCAGAAGTAACGTCTCCGTCCTCCTCCTTGGTGTGAGCCATTCTGTCGGCCATATTTTCCTGATTGTCCTTTTTGAGCGGGATGGGCGCCATCCCTTGTGAATCGTTGACCAGCTTCTCGACATCCTTCATTGATAGACTTCTGTGGACGTGGTTTGTAATAATATGGCAATGCAGAAAAAAGTTGATAGAGCTGCCTCCACTGGAAAAGATTTCGAGTATTTGGAGGAAGAAAAGAGTTTCTTTTCTGGTGGAGTTTATCATAGTATGGATCCTGGATTATTTTCCACTCAACGTGTCATATATAGTCAGTCATTGATGCTGCTGCCCCATTTGACGTTGAAATCCCCTGAAAGAAAGTTTTCTTTGCGATCATTGTGATGATTTTTTTTTTTTGGATACTTTTACTAACACTCCAAAAGAACCAATGGTGCTAATTCTCCGCCAGCTCACCATTGGTTCTTTTGGAGTGTTCTTTTGGAGTGTTACTTTAGTGATACTTTTACTTTAGCCCGCGGAGAATTAGCACCATTGGTTCTTTTGGAGTGTAGCTATTATGCGGCGGACAAGCAGAATATTTGGGAACAAACTTTTATGCGCTGACGCTATTCAATCGTTTTTTTTTTTTTCATTTTAAGGGGCTGGGGAGTGTCCTGCTTTGTCAGTGTAGTGGTGACGGTAACGAATGTACCTAAAAGTTCATGAGATTCGTCCTGTCCAGTGAATTGAGTCCAATCCCAGGAAAATTTTGATGAGAGCCTAAACAGGGGCTAATAGCAGTGGTGAAGGCTATACTGCGATGGCTTAAAGAACGAATATAACATTGGGAATTTTTTTTCCGACAGTGAAGTAATACATTTTTTTTCCCTTTTCTTGGAAAGTAAGAATAGAAAAACTTCTCAAGTTGATGGAAAGTAAGAATAGAAGAACTTCTCAAGTTGAGAAATGTTTAGGATAAATTAGTTGAAATACATACTGTATTTATTTTGATGATCTATTTATGTAAAGTTTCGAATTCACATCTCCTGTCCTCAACCAATCAACAAAGTGTTATAGAAAAGCGAACACCAATTTGTTGGTGGAATGATCTATTTTTACTTTAGGGATTAATTCCACTTTACACCCTTTAATTATATCTACTTTGGTCTTTAAATTTTAAAATAAGACACTTTAATTCCTAAAGGATAAAATATGTCCCGCTTTAATCCTTAAGATTATAATATCTATGTGACTTTAATCCTTAAAATATAAAATATTTCCTACTTTAATCCCTAAAATATAAAATTTATCATAAAATTTGTTCGCCAATAATTTTACTTGGGTAAGATAAATTTTAGGATTAATACCACTTTGTCCCCTAAACTTTGGACGATTACCTATTTCAATCCCTAAACTTCAAAATGGGACACTTAAGTCCCTAAACTTATAAAAACCTCTCACTTAAGAAAAATTGTTAACAAATTCTGAATGCCGTTGGTGGTCAAAATGTCCCATTTTATAAGGATTTAGGGATTTAAGTGTCTCATTTTATAAGTTTAGGGACTTAAGTGGGAGGTATTTATAAGTTAGGGATTTAAATGTCCCATTTTGAAGTTTAGGGACTGAAGTGGGTAATCGTCCAAAGTTTGGAGGGACAAAGTGGGATTAACCCTAAATTTTATACTTTAGAAACTAAATTATCCCATTTTTAAATAAGATAAATTTTATACTTTAGAAACTAAATTATCCCATTTTAAAATTTAGGGACCAAAGTGAAAATCTATATGTAGTTGAAAGGAGCAAAATAAAATTAACAACCGGCTCCGTTTGGATTAGCTGTTTTTGGAGTTGTTTTTCAAAAACAGCACTGTAGCATTTCGTTTTTGAAATACAAATCCGTTTGGATTGGTTGTTTTTGGGGTTGTTTTTCAAAAACTATATGAAAAACTTTTATTGTAGATGTTTTTTGGATTATTTTTAGAGGTAATTTTAAAACATATTTTGGGTATTTTTATAATTTATAATTTTTATATTTTTATTTTTACATACATCTATGCATTTATAATACATTTATAAATATTTATAAATAAATATATTTATATATTTATATAAAAATAGATAAATATATTATATTGTATATAATACATAATATAAATATATTTATAAATGTATAAGTGTATATTATTATAAATGTATAAATTATAAATTATATTATATAAGTGTATAAACTATAATTTTTAAATTTTTAAATTTTATATAAATATACATTTATGCATTTATAATACATTTATAAATATTAATAAATAAATATATTTATATATTTATATAAAAATATATAAATGTATTATAAATTTATTATATTATATATAATACATAATATCAATATATGTATAAATGTATAAGTGTATATTATTGTAAATGTATAAATTATAAATGCATATTATATAAATGTATAACTTATAAATTTTATATTTTATATTTTTATATAAATATACATTTATGCATTTATAATACATTTATAAATATTTACAAATAAATATATTTATGTATTTATATAAAAATAAATAAATGTATTATATTATATATGATACATAATATAAATATATTTATAAATGTATAAGTGTATATTATTATAAATGTATAAATTATAAATGAATATTATGTAAATGTATAAATTATAATTTTATTAATATATATTAATATTATGTATAAATGTATTAATATATTTAATATAAATGTACAAATGTATTAATATTATGTATAAATGTAAAATACATAATATAAATGTATATTATCAATATACATTAATATATATTGTGTATAAATGTACATTTATATAAATGTATAATATATTTAATATTTAATATATATTATATTATAAATAATTTATATAATATATAATATTCATATAAATATATAAATATTTATAATATGTATAAATAAATATATAAATATATAAATAAATATTTAAATATTTAAATATTTATAATATGTATAAATAAATATATAAATATATAAATATTTATATTTTTTAAATTAAAAAAATATTTATAATATGTATAAATAAATATATAAATATTTAATATATATAATATACATTAATATTAATTATAAATATTATAATATTATAAATGTGGTGTTTATATAATATTTCAATTTGTAATATTTATTGTATATTTCATTATATAAATATTTATATAATATATAATATGTATTTTTAATTTTATAATATACATAATATTGTATATATATAATATAATATACATAATATAATATATTTATACGTAATATACATTATTACATATAATGTATATTATATATTATACATAACATTATTATACATTATTATACACAATAATGTACATAATAATATTATACATTAATAATGTATATATTATAATATAATGTACATAATATATTATGTATAAATATTTACCCATTTATGTATACAATATTACATATTATGTATATTATATTATATTATGTATAATATACAATATTATGTATAATATTAATGTATATAAATATTTATATAATATAATAATATAATAATTTTCAATTTGTATATTTCAATTTATATTAATATAATATATATATAATATACATAATTGAAATATACAAATTGAAATATACATATGGAGTTGTTTTTGATATAATGTTTGGATATGGTGTTTTTTGAGTTGTTTTGGAAATACACATTTACTGTAGCATTTGGAATGTGAAAAACAGTTTTTCAAAAACAGCTCCAAAAACAAGGGATCCAAACGGACCAACCAACCGTTCTTTAAGAAAATGATGAAAGCACTGCACGACTTTGTCTTTATCGTCATTCTCCATAAGTGCTGCAAAGAAGCAACCGCAAAATCCGCTCAGACATGGCAATGGTAAAGAGCGAGCATTATTATTCCTCTTCCCTGTCGTTACCTAATCGTATAATTGCAATGGGGGTTCCAGTGCAGCAATATAAAATAAAACATCATACGGATGAGGGTAGGTATAGGACTTGGGTTCTGTTTGGAAGCCAAGTTTTTGAACAAGTTTTTACTTACTAGTTTTTTAACAATTTTTACTACACGAACCCCAAAAATTTCTTAAAATTTTTTACCTACACACTTAAAATATCCAAAATACAAAAACAAAAAAAAAAAAATTCCTTCCCTTTCTCTTCTTTTTCTTCCTCCGCCACCAAACCCACCACCATCTTCGTCGCCGGCCACTACCTCAGCCGCCGGTTTCGGATCCGATCACCTCTTCCGGTGTCGATTTTCTTTTTTTTTTTGCTCTTTTTCTCTCTCCCCTCTTCCTCCCCTGCCATCCTCCCCTCTATCTTTTTTTTTTCCCCTGCGTCTCCCCTACTCCTCCCCACCACCCTTCCCCTTCCTCTCTAGGCGATAGGGTCTAGCGACCAGATCGCACGGGAGAGGGGTGAGGGTGGCGGGGGAAGGGGAGGGGGGAGAAGGAAAATTGTCCAAAAAAAAACTTCATTTCGCTGCTTCATCTGCCGGCAAGAACAAGGAGAGGAGACGGGAGGAGAGAGAGAGGGAAAATGTCAAAAAAGAAAGGGGCAGAGGGAAGGGAACAGGAGAGGGGAAAGGGACAGAGAGGGTGGCGGGGGAGAGAGGGAAGGGCAGAGGGAAGGAAAGGGATGGTTGGCATACAGGGGTGACAGGGGAGGAGTGGCGGCCCAAGGGGGTGGCGGGCAAAAGAGGAGGAAGGGAAGGGAGGGAGGGGGGGTGGCGGGGGAAAGGGGAGGAAAGGGGTGGCGAGGAGAAAAGAAAAAAAAAAAAGAGACGTGGTGCTGGCAGAGGTGCTGGAGGTGGGAGGCAAAGGTAACGGGGAAGGGGGAGGGGAAGGAAGAAGAAGAAGAAGAGAGGAAAGGAAAGAAAAAGGAAAGAAAGAAAGAGAAAGAAAGAAAAAAAAGAAAAGGAAAAAAATTTTCACCAAATAAAAACTTCTACAAAAAATTTTCAAAAATTTTTACAGTGCACTGCAGTAAGAAAAACTCCAAAAAAACTCAGGTTCCAAAAAACCAAAAATGGAATTTAAAAATGTGTTCGGTTCTAAAACCAAAAACGTGATGATGCGTGGCCTTTAAAAATGGAATTTAATTAGGGAGACATGCTGTCGTAGTGGATGCACCAGTCTGATCTTGAAATCAACGCCCATAGACCAAGGATAAGGAAGAGTTGTTGCTTGTGGAACGTGCGAGATTAAATTTGCAGTTGATCTTTGATCCTTAAATTCATCGCTGTTTTTCCCAAGGCCAGTGCAGATCATGTTGATTAAACTCTCCAATTTAGCACTGCTTATTACTCCAACTTATTATTCCCAAGATACACTAATAACCTAGCCACATTTATTGCCATCCTCATTAATCTGCACAGCTAAGGTAAGATGGTATACTTCCACTAATACTGAATTTTTCTTATCAAGTTATGAGATAGATTTACAGATAAAATAGGTTATCTTTCTTTTACTATTACTTGTCGCTCTCAAAGCATAAGTTGCAATAGCATTAGTAGCCTACTAGTCTTTTTATCTCAAGGTCCACACACATATAGGCGATAAAAGTTAAAAAAAAAGTCAACAATGTAGGAATTATTAGCTATTCAAATTATATTTAAATTAGAATTGTACGTTACAAAAATT